ATTATAATAATTCTTAAGTAGGCCTTTATTTATTGGAGAGGACTGTATATATATATATAATAATTATTATTTATTTTTATTTATTTGTTTTTTATAATTAAACAAATATTTATTATATTTATTTAATTTTTAAAATTGAAAATATAATAATATAAAACTTTTATATATAAATTGTTTTAATATTTAAATACTTGTTATTAATCTTTAATTTTTAAATATAATATTAAAAATAAATAAAATTGTTTTTTTTTTATTTTAGAATAATTGAATTTATTGTTTACAGTTATTATTATATAGTTATATAATAATTGTTATTTATAAATTTATTAAATATTTATAAATTAATATTTAATTTTAAAAAAAAAAAAAAATTTTTTTTCAAATAATAAATAAATATAAAAAATATTTTGTATATAAATTAAAATACTTTATATTTTATTATAATTTATTATTAAATAATAATTATAATTAAATATTAACATATATTTATTATAAATAATATTTTTAATTTTATTAAATAATATATTAAAATATTTTACTAATTATAAATTTAATTAAATTAATTTATCTTTATAAATTCATTATATTAATTAATATTAATTAAATAAGTTAGTTATATTAAATATAAATTATTAAATAATAAGTAATTTTTTTTTATTAGTGGAATTAACTTTTATTAAAAATAAAAATTTTATTATTAGTTTAAATTAAATAACTTAAAAATTATTATTATTATTGTTGTTGTTGTTATTTGCAAATGGACATTAAATGCAAAACATTTATTAAACATTTGTTTTTTTATCATTACATTAATGATATCAAATATATAAAATATAAATAACTTAAAAATTATTTTTAACAAGTTATCTAAAAACATATATATATATATTTTATATTAATTAGAATAAAACTTTTATTTAATTTTGTAATTATTAAAAAATTAAAATATTATCTTTATATAATTTAACTGTTTTTAATTGATTAATTAATTATAAGAATTGATAATTTTTATAATCAACTTCAAATCTTTTTTGATAATATATACTATGCTATAAATTCATAAATTATTATTATAATAATATATTTAAATTAACAAAAGAATAATAAACATTTATTTATAAATTTTAAACAATGATTTTTATTAACCAAAATCAATAGTATTATTATAAAAATTGAAATATTAAAAAATATATATATAACATCTAATAGATTTAAGCTTGAAATCAATAAAATTAAATACAAATAATTAAATACCTCAATTATTACCACTAATAAAATAAGTTAACAATAAATATTTATATAATTAATATATTCTTTGAATATATCTTTTAATTTGATTAAAATTTTTAAATATAAATTTTTTTGTAGTTAAAAATATATTTAATAATAAATTGAAAAAACAAACAAATATCTTGGAATTATTTTAAAATCTATACAATTGAAATAAATTTTAATTATGAAATAATCATTTTATATAAGTGTAAAACTTATAAAATTGAATTAATAAAACTTGCTTAACATAATCGGTTCCTTTACTCGTGACGTCATCACAAGCCAATTTTCTTTATCATCCACCATACAATAGCAAATGTTAAGCTCGTTATCACTCCAACTTCAATTCCCCGTCTCGTACCAAACAACCACCACAAACTTCCCAAAGTTTTCGCTGATATCTCTCCTATTAGAAATTTCGTTCGTAAATGTTTGTCAATCTTAAATGGAGAACTGAATGTTCTTGGTCGTGTTTCAATCATCATTGGGAAGGAATATAGTTGATCTTGTGTAGATGATGAAGAGGTGGTTGAAGAAACTGGGGATGAAGTCGGTATCGTGAAGAATGCAGACACAGGTTTATGATCTGACAAAATATATGAAGGGTGTGAAACGTATTGATTTAGCTTAATCGGTGGTTCTTCTCTTTTGGTGTTAACGCTAACATGGTCATTATAACCCTCTCTATGCCAGAAATAAAATATTCTATCACACCACCCAGGTGTCCTTATGCTAACATCAAATTCATGTTCGCTACCCTTGTGAAATTTATATGTTGGCAAGAAATTCAATTCTCCTTCTTCAAATCCATTAAGAACTTTACCAGACTTTACTTCTTTCGTTAGTTGATCATGACTTCTTACACGATGATGTTGATGATCGTGTAATAGATTTAATAATTTCCCAATTGTGAGGTGATGCGTTGAGCGAGGTGAACTATTATTATTACTATCATCTAAAATGTTTCCAGGTGCCTGAGATGATTGTGATAGTGGTTCACCAAGTTCAATCCTATAATTCAAATCTCCAAAAAAGAATAAAAAATCTGAATCATAAATCGTAAAATATCTTTGATCTCTATAGTAATATGAATCTAATCTGTTATCTTTTTGATTGTCTTTTGAACCACTTCTTGGCATTAATGGAGTATATGATGATCCCTCTTCAAGACTTTCTCTGTCAATTATCACATCATCCTCTTCTTGTAAAGTGTTTTGACATTCACCATTGGTAAATACTAATCTCTCACAAATACTCCTAAAATCCTGATTACGTTTTTGAACATTGTAATTGTGGGGTGCTAAGTGTGCGACCACAAAAGACAATATTAATTCACCTCCAGGAGCTCTATCGCTAATATCTTTCAAATTTTCCATAGACTTTTCTCGGTTAATTAAAATCCTGGCACCTAATCCACCCTTGTTTCCAATCCAAATTGGTCCAACTCCAGCTTTGGAAACCTCATAATTCTTGATTAGTCTGGTAATACTATTATCTCTGGTGTAAATGAACAATGCCAAACCGACATAACTAGCCTTCACTAATTGTGTATAGCTTTCTTTAGTATTTACGAATATTGTGCGTTCAATTAAGTTTGCGCAACTCTCTAAACGTTCAGTATCAGTACTGATAAGTGAGTGAGGCATAGGAGAGAACTCCTGAAAACCCAAGGCTATAATGTCAGGTTTGTCTACTAATGCGACATGAGTGGTAGTTGGAGAGGGAATGGAATTGGTAAATGAATTCGAAGACCCATTAAGTGAAAATAACCATGAAGAAAGATCTTGATCTAATATCTGTGTATTAACATTATACGTTCCTACTAGAATTTTTAAGGGCATTTTAGGAAGAATAGTAAGGTTTCCGTTAAAGTTTTAGCCAATTACAATTTACTTTGTCAATTTTTATAACATGGTGAGATAGCAGATTAGTTTTTTTTATTTCAATCAACATTGTACAAAAAAAAACTCTTGTTGAAAGAAATCTAATGATTAATTATATATTTTTGATTTTTTTTTTTTTATAGGCTTATTTATTTATTGAATAGAATTTAAGAAGTCTTATCAATAGTTTAAATCTAAGATTTTAGTCTTAATTATCTGTTGTAAAAAAAATTATTCTATAATATTCTTATCAAAAATTATATTAATAATTATAGTAAATAGTTTTAAAAAAATAAAATATATCAAATAAACTTTTTTGAAAATATTTTTATAAATTTAATAATTTATTTAAATTTAAATTTCTTTTCAATTTAAATTAAATAATTATTTTAAAAGTAAATTAATATTTGATTTTTTATTTTATTTAATTTTTTATTTTTTTTTGACAAATATTAAATATATAAATTTTAAAAAAAAAACTCTTTCCGCAAATCATAAAAAATTTTAAAAATTTCCTTTTTTGGCAACTCAAGAAAAACCAAAGGAAATATCCAAAGGAACACCAGGGAAAAA